AATAGATTGCAAATACAGTTAACCTTTGAACTGTGTGGGTCCAATTATAGACAGATTTTTTTTAGTAGCTATACTGGAAACATTTTTGGAGATTTGCAACAAATTGAAGAAAAAGTTTTCTTTCCTCTAGCTTATATTTTCACATTTTTGTAAAAGTATGGTATACAGTACAAACAACATACAAAATATGTGTAATTGACTATGTTTTTGATAAGGTTTACAGTCAACAGTGGGCTGCCAGTAGTTAAGTTTTTGGAGAGTCAGAACTTTTATGCAGATTTTTGACTGCATGGGGCTGGTGCCCCTAACTCCCAACACTGTTCAAAGGTCAACTGTATATTCATCCTTGAAAATGTAAAAGTCAAGTGTGATGACAGGTTGTGAAGAAGGGTGAATACACAGGAGCACTAACATCCTTATATCAAATGGGTGATAAGAGGTAATGTCTGTGTTACATGGAAGAAAGAGAGGCTCCCTGTGAAGTTATTGATTGAATCTGCAGAGGAACCACAACTAATGGTTGCACCGTTTTGGAAAAAAGGAGAAGGTAAAAATGGGAAAAACCTTCCCCAGTCGTGCATAATTAAATGATCCTTTTTTGAGAGTCAACCTTGCAATCCATTTGCTAAACACTTGCTTGAAGAGGTACTTTGATGAACCAAAAACTGAGTATCACCTAGAACATCAATGTGTCTAATCAAGAACAGTACCTTGAAATCCCATATTGAGGCCACTTATGCTGTCCGTGTGAAAAGCCTGTGATAACCGATGTAGATTGAGTGAAATAAGCATATTATTTACGGCCATGGAATAACCATGAGAAAACTACATACCAAAGCACAACAAAGCAGAAGTTGTGGCAGGGTGGCTCTGAGGGACAGGGAGGGGGACAGATGAGGCTGGGGACTATTTTCATTTTAGGCATTTTTATATTATTTCATTCCTGAGCATATATATCTATTATTCTGATTGAAAATAATAAAAGAAGGCAATGCATTAAACAATCATCCTCACCACCTCTAATCCTTCACAGGTAGTTGCTTTAAGAAGATGCATCAAGAAATCAGGACAATAGGCTCCTGCTTATTTTAAACACAGCAAACTATTTTGGGCTACTTTGAGCTATTAAGCCCTCAGGCTTCCACATTCATTTGCGTTGCTTTGTGTATCTCTGACCAACAAATGGGCTCACATCTGAGAAAGGTGAAGGGCAGCCTGGATTTGGGTCTGATTTGGTTTTCTGGGGCAGCCATATCAAAGTACCACTGCCTGAGTGGCTTAAACAACAGAAATTTATTGTCTCACTCTTCTGGAGGCCAGACATCCAAGATCAAGGTGCCATGGGGGCTGCTTCCTTCTGAGGCTGTGAGGAAGACTTTGGTCTGCTCTCCTGCCTTTGGTGGCTTGCTGGCAACCACCAGGATTCCCTGGCTTGTGGAAGCATTTCCCTGATCTCTGCCCTTGTGCTCACACCTGCTCTTCATGTATGTGTCTGTGTCCAAATTTCCCCTTTTCATAAGAATACCAGCTATACTGGATTAAGGTTCCTCCCTATCATAGTATCCTAACTTAACTAATTACATCTGAATCACATTTTGAGGGACTACATGTTAGGACTTCAACACACGAATTTTGGGGAGACATAATTCAACTATAACAGAGGCCTTTGGACACTAGGCATTAAATTAACTGACCTAAATCTAGTAAGTAAAACAGTTAAACTGAGGCCTGTCTCCTTAATTAAAAGGATCAACTATTTGTGTATTTAAAGTGTAAGATGAAAGAATATTCTCTGTTCTTCGAGAAGTAGAGCTCTTAAGAACACTTGCATTCAACCAAAATAAAACTTATTTATTAAGCTGTTCAGTTTAATAAAAACTGGTTTATCATGATTTGTAACATTCTGAAATCTTTAGTTAGGAATTTCAAAATTTGGGTTGATTATTTTCATATTTAGAGAGAGAAAAGTTACATTAGTCAAGCCTGAACGACATGCAGCATTTGTAATGAAAGTTTATTTGCTTAGAAGCATTTCAAGTAATGGCTAGCATATCATAGCTTCAACTGGATTTAAATAAAATTCTGATAATCATCTCATAGCAATTATTGCATAGGAAGAGAATTATTTATTGCAAATCCTAAGAGTCAGGGGCAAAATACAGTCTGCTGTGAACAGATACAGTAGTGCAAAGAGGCAGCTGTTTTCTTAAACATGCATGTTTATGTGTTGGATGTAAATGCATGCAAATACCTCAATTTTAATATTTTATTATTGTTCAGTTTTCCAATAACTATTCAGTGAATAATTTAAAGATCATTTTTTTCTTTCATTCAGTCCTTCATTTTTTATAATTTGGCACATTAGATCATTCTGGATATATAGCCTATGTCTAATCTAAAATTTGGCTTATAAACATGCTTTTTTAAAACAAATCACTAAAATTGTTTTTTGGAGTATTTGTTTACAAAACCTCCTAGTTTCCAATATCTAGACAGGAGTTCAAAGAACACATCACCCTCCTCTGCTCTATGATTTTTTTATCAACACAGATTTGCTTTCATGCATTTGCTATCAGGCAGGAAAGAGAATGCTAGAGAAGAACCCCCATGTGCTAGTGGGGTTCTTGTAACGTACTGGGTTTTCCTCCTTACTGAAGAATTACAAGGGAAGTAAAAAGCATAGATATTATGTTTAAATCGCCATTTGTATTAATTCATGTGTGAATATCTAACCTAATTCCAAGAAGAATTTGAGGAGGGTCCTTGTAACAGCATAAGTGAACAACTAAAGAATGAATGAAGAGCATGGGCTCACACAGAAAGGCTTTCTGTAGTAAAACATGCATCAGATTTGGGCAGAGACAAGAGTCTGACAGGAGTGGAAAGAGAGTGACAGATGAGAGAGATGGAAGACGTGGCAACCTTGAGGCTAAGTCCGTTTAGCTGTACTAAAATACAGGATTCCCAAAGCTTTGCAGGGGCCAACAGCTCCTGCTGCACCAGCACAGGCTGATGGAGAACAGTGGGTCCTGACGTGACAATGTGTGCACACATTTGTTTTTCTCAAAAAGAGCCGAGTAGGAAGCATACGTCTTCTCTTGTGTATCAAGTACTAGCATCTTTCCTACAAATCAAGTTTTGCCAGGAAAGGAAACAGTCTGGTGTTCGGAAGAGGTTATCTGCCTTTGATGTTTCCAAATGAGGCTCACGTAGGATTTTTCATGTTTCCCAGGTGCATATATAACGGGCCATGCCCAGGGCCTGGCAGGAGCAGGGCTTCATCGCGGCTTCAAATACAGGTGCAGCGCGGGCATGCGCAGCAATGATGTCACGGGGCAGGTGCCGCTGCCGTTTTCCTTCCGGTTAAGTCATCAATTACCTCAGCCTTTTGCATGTGGCTGAGTTCCCTTGACAAAGAGGTAAGCCCCACAGAAGGTACTTCTAGAGAGGGTTTTTTGTTGAGGCAAATCCAAATTTTAGTAAAATCGAGTTCTCAGATCATACAATGAATGCGTAAGGTGTGGAGCCCTTGGCACATCTTCACGCACAGGAGCTCCATATCTGTTTTCCGTCACACCACGTCTGTTTTCCGTCACACCGCGTGGAGTCCTTCCTCTCACAGGCGTATTTCCAATTTAAACATGACCCGGGAAAATAGGGATGGGGGTTCATAACCACGGTGGCAGGGTACATTTTCAGTAATTTAGCTCACCCCAAAACTATCGCACACCTCATGATCTGTGCGTGACCACAGTTTTACCTAAACTGACTCGTCTTGCCCTGTTAGTTTAGTGTGAAACATCACTTTCATAATGCTGTAAGCCGTAACAGCTATTTTTTTCCACAAAGATAATTCTCTACTTAGAGAAAGAAAAAAACAAAAGGAAAAAAAACCTGGAGTCTAATTTAGCTAAGAGTGTAGATGAGATGTGACAATAACCTTAAAGGGTGTGAATTTAAGAAAATATGCTGAAGCTGGGAGTCTTGACCCAAGACTGAACGAATACTTAGGACTCGCCAGCTTCCAGAATGTATTTTCTTAAATAAACAAGCTCACATATATACTTCATCAGCACAGCTACAAGGAAATTTCTGAGTCAAGACAGAAAGTTAGTATAATGATGGAAAATTAAAAATTCCTTTTTTGAGAGTCAACTTTTCAATCCATTAGCCAAATACTTGCTTGAAGTACTTTGATGAACCAAAAACCAAGTATCACCCAGAACAGCACTGGGTATAAACCAAGAAGAGTAATTTGAAATCCCATATTGAGGTGATTTACACATCAACAAGTAAAACTGCACATTTAAAAAGTGAGGGATGATGGTGAACGCCTAGTATTTACCGTGTTCACATGTATTCCAAGAAAGGCATTGCTAAATGCTTTACATGTTCTCATTCACTAAATCCTCATGGATCTATTGAGGTGGGTATTATAATTATCTCCATTTCACAAAACTCAAAAGTTCATGTTCATAGAAAGCTTTTTCTCATGTTCACTTTTGAAAAATTCCCTAATATGTAATACTAACCGGGGACTGTTAGTAGGTACAAAAATCCAAAAGATTAATGCTAAGTATGATACGATCTCTGTTGTTAATCACACTATAATCCAGAATATACACCTTATTAACAATAACTCACATACCTTGTCCTCTTATCAATTGTTACTGATGCCATACTAATGATGACCCGGGGGAACTGTACATTGCTGAATTACTTCTAAATCAAATGATAAAGACTGAAATATGGTCACAGAATTTTAGTGAGGGTGGTATTTATTGGATTCCATTGATTTAAACTGATCAACGCAGGAGTGTTACCTTTGATGCCCTCTCAGTCACCTGCTCAGGCCTTTGCAAACACATAGTGGGACTGCCCAATTCATGAGCCCTCTGAGAGGCTTTGGACCATAATACTTGGTTAGCACACATGTTACCAGGCTGGCTAATGGAGACTTTATCTTGAGAGTCAGTGGTGCTGTGCATGAGGACTCTAACCTGTGACCAGCTCCCGGATCTCCAGGTCGGTGGTCTTGCGGAGTAACCTCACCAGCGCTGGGATGCCGCCACAATTTTTCAGGGCAATTTTGTTATCATCGTTGGCCTTCCCATACACCAAGTTTCTCAGGGCTCCACAGGCACTACGATGGACTTCCGTCATCCGATGGTCCAGCAGGTCCACCAGGAGCTGGATGCCTCCTTGTCTTCTTATCTGAAAGAGCAAAGGGTATAGCTTTTGCCTTAGAGAGTAAACGTGCACTATTTAAAGCAAAATAAGTTTTTCATATGAAGTAGTTGCCACAATTAATTGCACTGAACTGAATTAAGGCATAGAAATGGGGAAGAAAGCAGATTAGTGTTCTTCATAGATTTGATTGCTTTTACTTGTTTCAGTGTCCTACTGCTGGAAATTCCAACACATATCCTTCCAGCTACAGATTTTGGAGAAGCCATTTTAACTTCATAATGGGTGTCTTGGACATTTTTCTCTCAAAAAATATGTCTCACCCTCATGGCATGAAGCAGATGGAGGAGGAAAAGAATGCTTCTCACTCCTAGGGCTTATTAAATTTAACCACCGTCTTAAAGGGCTGCAGACCTGATGTACAAAATGTTAAAATCATGCTTAATAGGGAAATTCTCTGAACATTGCAAAGGAACTGGAAGCTAAATGAGAAATCAGAAGAACTGACACAAGGATTTTCATCTGAGAAGCCCTAGACAATAAGAACATCACTCACAGTGGGAGCCAGTCAGACCACTAAGACCAAGGTATGTGATATTTAGGTATTTGATTAATAATGAAATCACATTAAATGTTAGTATTCTTTCTACCCAAATAAAATTTTGCATTTAATAAGTGAATGAAAAAGAAAGTATTGCAGTATGTTTCTAGACGCAGCTTCTCTTTGCTGTCCTATAATTTCTAGACCCGTTTTAAAATTTAAACTGCAAACAAATTGGCTAGTTAACATAAAGACCATTTCATGGAGTTTTCATTAGCAAAGCTGTATTTGACTACTTCTACATTTATGTGGAAAAATAACATAACTTACCCAGTAATATTCTTTTCTTTTTTTTAACTGGTTATGATTTGGCATGAAAGATTATAATCTGGCACTTTCCTTACTTAATCTTATAAAAGAAAACTCCTTCATCCTGTGTGCTGGGTCACATGGCTAAATCTCCCAACTCTTTCAAGGTGCTCAAATGCCACATTCTCTGTGAACTACTCCAATCACACTATTTAAAATTGCAATCTGAACCATACTGCTTCTCCAATCCAACATTCATTTTACCTTAACTGTTACAGATTTCTTCATGACACTACCACGTCCTACCTTCTTAATTGTGTTTATTGTTATTGCCTGTCTTCTGCTGGCCTGTGTTCTCGGAGGACAAGTCTCTGTTTTGTTCCTTGAAGGAGCTGCATCATTAGCTCAAGTGCAGCGCTGGGCACAGAGCAGATGTTGAGTATTTGTTGAGTGAATGGGGAGGAAGAGAATATTACCTGTTACAGCAGTGTTTCTCAGATTCCTTAAAACTTGACTTTTCAAGACTGAGTAATCTCTCTCTTTAAAGGAGAAAAAAAACAACAACCCTGTTTGTGAACAGCTAAGAATGGCTCTAGGGGGCAAGTCAGCTCTTTGTATACCAGCTTACAAATAAAATGTGGGCATACACCCTTCATGCAAGGTGGGGCATCTGATGATTCAGAAAATTTCTGTAGGAATTACTTTCATCCATCCACAAAATGAAAACAGGAAAAGTTGAAATTCTCATAGAACTCACAGACTCAAGTCCCTAATTTGGGAATCGCGAATGTAGTGTTTCACTTATGCCGTCTCCTGTGAGAACAGGACAAGGAAGGAAGAGGGAAGGACATGGGGGACAGGGTCGTTGGGCACGGCAATAACTCCCTTCTGGTGCTCGCACAGCTGCAGGGTGAGTACTCGAAAATGGCTCAGCATTATGGCGTCAATTTTAAAAGAGCGAGAAAGCATCAGAAAACAACTTTTCCCCAACTTACAGTTTTGCCCAGGGCCTGCTTGTCACCCACCCAAGTGACATGAAGTTTGTATCACTATATACGGGAGTCTTGTATATGCATCTGTCCTATAACCACGTCCGCTTTGTATAATACTTCAGAAGGGATAATCTATTTCTACAAAAAGATTAAACTATGATGTTATTTTCTGTGTGTATTTGCCTGTGTGTGCTCTAGTTTAACATTCTTTAGGTTTAACTATCTGAATAATGATGAAACCATTAAGAGGTAATAGAGCCATTCTTACAGTTAACTCATTGGTTATATTTCAAAAGTAGGTTGTATAGTAAATCTATCTATCTATCTATGTATTTTACCTATATCTATATATTTTCGCTACACTTTATATTACAATCAATAGTCCTGACTTATTTATGATATTTCCCAAGTCATACAACGTAATGAACTATGCCACTGAAGTATTATTCCAAAGCATTAGAAGGGAAGATAAACTCAAAACAAGTGCAGTATCAATTGTGAATGTTATAATGAGCGTACAATATTTTGAGTGTGACCCTATAATTAAGGCCATATATTCAAATTTATAGTGAAATCTTAAGTTCTACTTTAATCTGTTTAGAGAAACACAGATAAGACAATACACTTTTTCTTTTGCTCTTATTTTTGGATGTGACTGGATCATCTATATTGAAAACTTCTGTTTTCTTGCAGTTGAATTTTATCTAAGAATATAAGAATTCTACTTCAGTTTTCTGAAGCCAAACATTAGCCAGAGTTGATATTTGCACACGTGGACTGTTATGGCAGGTCCTTGGTTCTTCCATCTCCTGTCGCTTTTCCTCTCCAAAAGAACCAGCAGTGGAGCCATGAAGTGGCCTCTCAGTTCTCTGTGGGCTCCATTCCCTGCAGACTGCAGGGTGGCTGCAGCTGGGTCTGAATGCAATGCTGTGGTCTTCACTTCCCTGCTCTGCTTCTCCCTCCCTCCAACTTCTCGCACCCAATTCTTCTAGTTCTTCTTGTACCCAACCTTCACTCTTATAAGACTCCAAACCAACTCATTTTAAACATTAACAAAGTGCAACTTGTCTTTGGAAAACTATTAGGGGAAAGCCTCTTCTTCCAAGGGGAGCTTTTCCTTCCTCTCCCGTGAAACGGCCAGCGGTGTGTTTTCCATCTCTCCTCCACTGATCATTCCCCACCCACAGGCGGGGTCCCTACTGGAACTCAAACACGAATCACACCAGGTTAGGTCACCCACTCCCCTTACTCCTTTTATCAAATTCATGCAGAATTTCTCCAAAGCCAAATCTTAAATGATCTAGGTTTAATATTTATTAAAACAAAGTTAATAAAATTCCATATGACTTTCTATCTAATATATGTAAAATAAAATGAAATGCACCAGTAGAATGTCATATGGTAATAAGTGAATAAATACTGATCAGCTGAATGGAAGAACAGTGTAGTTGGTTGGCAGGTTCCATTCTCTTTCTTTCTCTCTTTATTTACTACTTTAAATGAAAGTTTTTGGAACAGTTTTACATTCATTGCAAAATCGGACAGAACACAGAGAGTTCCCATATACCCCCACCCTCACACATGCACAGCTTCCCCCTGTCGCCAGCACCATCCCCTGTGAGGGCTGGGCCCCTGGCCAGGACTCGGTCCCGGGGCTGATCCACCGCAGCTCCCTTGCCCAGTGGTAGTTCTAAGACCTGGTATTTTAGCCTCGTCACCAGCTGGAGAAGATGGCGCCCATTTCCTGCTCACCACCCTTTCCCCTCTTCCCTGTTGGGGATTGGCCCAGCAGACTTCCATACCCGTGCACAGCTCGTGCTGTCCGCTTAGAGTGGTGCGTGACACCTATCCGCTTAAAGGTCACACATGATACTGTCCCGGATTGGTTGGGTGACTGAATATAAGGGAGCCCACCGGGAGGGAGAGGAGCTTCCTGACAACTGCTGTAACCGCCGCGAGAGATTAGACAATAAAGCCTAGAGAAGAATCAAGACCTTGGGCATGTTGCTTCGGTCCCTGAAGGGTCGTGACAATCCCCAGAGTGGGACATTTGCTACGATTGAAGATGCTACACTGACGTCAAAATCACCCAACATCCATAGTTTACATTATTGGTCACTTGCTGTTGCATGTTCTGTGGGTCTTGAAAAATGTATAATGACATGTACCCACCATTCCAGTATCATACAGAAGAGTTTCACTCTCCTAAAAATGCTCTGTGCCCCACCTATTCATCCCTCCCTCCTTCCTAACCCCTGGAATCCATGTATCTTCCCATTGTCTCCACAGTTTTGCCTTTTCCAGAATGTCATAGAGTTGGAATCATACAGTATGTAGACTTTACAGACTAGCTTCTTTCACCTAGTCAAATGCATTTAAGATTCTCCCGTGTCTTTACATGGCTTGATAACTCATTTCTTTTTATATTTCATATTTGCTGTTATCCTGAACTTGATAGAGCTGGCGAATGACTGGAAAGAGCTTTTCATGCATACCCTGAATAGACAGTCCTAGATTCATTTACTAAATGAGTCTTTGATAGATGTTCTATTTTAGTCAATTGCTCCTATGTCAACAGCTCACATTTGTTTTTCTGCTTAGCTGTGAACTGCAGGGATGAAGATGAGGAGGGTTGGTCCACCGGAAGTAAGGAAGATGGAGACTGAGGGACTCCACCCCAGGAGAAATGAAGGAAAAAAAGGACTAACCAATTAAAAGCAAAACTGTGCCCTACTTATGTAGACAGTCTTTTAGGGCTGAAGGCTGGGAAGTGTGTGCACAGAATCAGTGAAGCTCACCTAATTTGTATCAAGGGAGAATGAAAATGGCTTCCACACCTTTGCCATACAAACACTGTTTTAAAGTGTTTTTACAATTTAAACTCTAGGGCTAGAAGTATTTAATGATCATTCAAGGGTCAGATACAATGGTTTTCCTCCATACCCTTTCATTACAAGGCAGACAACATATAAGCCTTTTAAATCAGAAAACAAATGGATGAGCAATTAAATTAAATAAAAGAAAAATGCAAGCAACACAATATCACCCATTGCAAAAATGAGGCTTCGCCACTTAATGCACTTATTACTCATACATTACCTGCATTTATTGAGAATAAAATATATTTACTAGGGTATTAGCTATTATATTAAATTGATATTAAGATCAATGAATTATTTAGAATA